TCGTTTGGCGGCGATTGACTCGAGTTCCAGAAGACGGCACTCTTGAGGCCATTGACGGGACTGGTGGCCAAATCCGGCCCATTGTATGCCATTATTCACACTTCGGGCGATCGCTCTTCACATAGATGTCAATATTTGGCGCTTGTGTTGGGTTTTGGGCGACAATTGTGTGGACACAAGCGATACGAAGCGATGGTTTGCTGTGAAGACAATTTGAGACAATAATTGTTTACTGTTTTCATGTATTTGTATCTAAAATGCACTCAAAATGATTACAAAACATATCTATAATTCACTTCACTTTCAAAATCTTTTTCACTTGTTTTTCACCACAAACTTTAACTCAAAGGGTTGTTCGCAAACAACGTTACCGTTCGCCCCCTCGAGTGTTGAGACAATACAAGTGCCCACTAATTGATTTAAAAAGCGATCGTCTCTTAAAGGGTATCCATATGTTTGCAAACATATGATTGTATTTATGAATAGATCGTTGTGTAGAGGCGTTTGCGTGTGTTATGGCTTTAGACGTGGATTTGCTATCAAACAAACCGCTGACACCTCTACAACACGTGGCGTTCAATACAAACAGCGCTTTCAACGCTTTGACCGCTAAATGAGATTTAATTGTGATTTAAGTGTTGATTGAATTTAATGTCCGTTTAATTCAATACACGATTAAAACACGTGTTTTTAGTATTAATCGCTTATATATTGGTATAGTCTTTGGTTTATCTCTCGCTTTATATAAATTGCATACAAATAAAAGTTGTGTTGAATTTAATAATTGTTTGTTTCGTTAATTCATTGATTAAATCCGTATATAATTTGCCATTAGTTTAGTGACAATGTCTGAAGAAGTGAAGTATGTTTTGATTGCTTTTATGTTTACGTTTATCACTAATTGTTTTGTCTATCGTTTTGTCCACAGATTATTACAACCGCTTCAATACATCAATGAATTTCTTGTAAATTAACTGTCGATTAGACGTGTATTTCATAAATGATTAATATTTTTANTTATTACAACCGCTTCAATACATCAATGAATTTCTTGTAAATTAACTGTCGATTAGACGTGTATTTCATAAATGATTAATATTTTTATCAATAGAAACAAAACCTCCGAAGCGATGGCCGAAAGTTTGATGACTTCCGACCCGTTCTTCTCAATTGCGGTACAAAAGTGTTTACAAATATGTTTTCAGACTTAACTCTAAACTTAATTGTTGTTTACATTGAGTACAGATAGTGTGGGAACAGCTAATGGCTCGGCGATGATTAGGTTCGGCAACAGTGCCGTCATCTGCGGTATAACCACTGTATGTGTTGTTTTAGCTTAATTTCAATTATCTCTGAATTAATAATTCAATTGAGAAACTATTATCTAAACGTTTGTTTGACTCTTCAGGAGGTAATTGAACCAAACATTGAGACACCAGACGAGGGATCAGTTGAAATCAATGTCCGACTCCCGGCCTATTGTTCCCCCAAATACTGTATGACTGACTCGACTAACGATTTGCTTGTATTGACGCAAACACTTAAAGATGTGGTCAAACAAAGCAAACTCATTGATCTAAAGAAGTTGTGTATTTTAGAGGCAAAGGTTTGCTTGAAATTAATGATTTCATTATTTTATATTATAATTTAAATAATGTATTTGTTCCCAAAGTTTGCGTGGAGTTTAAACATTGAATTGATTTGTCTGAATAACGCCGGAAACCTCTTAGACCTCTGCGTGACAGCCATTGTGGCGGCCCTTCATTCCTGTGAGCGAGCGATTCATTGGATCAGTTGTTACATTGTTTTACATTATGTTTTGTTTTAAGGTTTACTCAAGAAAACCATTGTTTCCGAGGATAATAAGATATCGTACGAGAAGAATACAGAACCGGTGGAAGTGACCACATATCCCATTTCAACCACTTTCTCCATAATCAATGGGTTTGTATTTAACAGTGATTTAAATTATTTAACGAGTTTACATAATCTGCTATAAACTCTGTGTAAATATATAGTTTTTATGTAGATTTTAATGTTCATTAAACGTTGTGTCCAATTATAATGACTTAACAATCATAACATTTTGTTAAGTTTTCGCTTTTGGACTAAAATATACACCACTTTATCTCCAAATGTTTTATTCAATAAATAATAAAACATTTTTGTCTTAAGTTAACAATAATACTTTTTAAAACTTTTACAATGTTTTATTTAAATGTAATGTTAATAAATGATTGAATTTCTCATTTGTAGTGTGCTGTTAACGGATCCGACTATAGACGAGGAGAGTTTAGCCGATTCTGTGGTGAATATAGTTGTGAATGCGGACACAGATATCATTCATTACATCCAAACGACTGGTTCCGCGAAACTTGATTTAAATGATTTCGAAAAATGTTTCAAAATTGCCAGAAATCGGTCCAAAATTATGAAAAAATTGATTTTAGAAAATTCAAAATCAAATAAACAAAACAATAAATGATTTCAAATGAATTTATTTTTGACAACTTCTAAATCAATCTAATAAGCAATCTAATGGTTAGCTTTAGCTTTTTTAGAGTATTATAATCTATGGTATTATAAGCACTTCATCGATGATATGCAAAACACCATTCGCTCCTTCGATATCGTATTCTTTAATTAGCGCTGAATTAACTGAAATTCCCTGTAATTTAAGAATTTTTAAAATTAAACAAGTGTTGATTTGTTAACCACTAGAAATGCCATACCTTTGCAGTAATGGTGCAATTAATGAAGCGATTCTTTGCTAACGTGTAAATTGTCTTATTATTGGTAATTGATTTGGTTGTGAGTCTGTAAGGAATCAAATGGCTTTCGACAAATAGTCTGCAATTATCTAAAATGTTTCCCAATTGATATGATTTCAGTTTTTCAAACGCATAATTGTTTGGCGCAAACAAACTGTACGATCGATTTGATTCTTCCAACACAAGCACTTCTTCGGGGCACTGGTCTAAAGTGCGCTTAAATGAACTCAATTGTTGCCTTTTGTCCACCAATTCGTATAAACTCTTCACTTAAATGCCAAGAGATTGTTAGTAAATAAAGTTAAATCAAATGAATGCACACCTGAATCGGGTATAAGGACCTCATCGACAACATTGATGACACCATTGGCAGCGCCTAACATTTGTCCGTTCATATGGACTCCATTGATGTATCTATCGTTACCATTACAGCTAAAGATCATATCATTGTTATCAATAGTCTTAATTGTATGGTCTGCTATCAACGCGTGCGGACATATAGTATGAGGTGTTATATGATTCCTAAGAAGTGCTGTTTATAATGAGATTTATTTCAATATTGAGACAGAAAAATATATACAAAATGAGTGTTTGAATGAATAGGAATATTGTTGACCTGTAATAAGGGATGGTTTGGATGCGATTCGGTTGAGATATTTAGGCGATAGCTTACGAAACGCTCTGTCGTTTGGCGCAAACATAGTGTAGTCAGTGTTGCCATACATTTCCCGCATCTCATCCGCAAAATAGGTTTCATTTATATATCGCGACAACTGTTTAAATCTGCTGTCATTGAGAACTGTGTTTAATACTGGCTTATGCGAGTCCACTTGAATGGCAGAAAGTGTTTTGACACGAGTGAACACTTTTGTCGGTTAAGCCCCAAATCTCCGGGTGTTGGTACTGATGGGTCAGATTAATCACGTTCTTATGGCTACGGATTATAGGTTTGGGACGACCGGTAGAGCCCGACGACAGAAGAAGTGCCGCCATATCTGTCTCGCAATTGACTCGTTTGGGTAAATCAATGTCACACTCGGAAGCGTTATAATCGTATAATTGAAAATATGGTACAATTTTTGTGTCGTTTTTCAAATTCCAATCGTTTGCTATTAATATGATTTTCTATGGGATTTATTTCCATATAATTAACAATTAAATACTAAATAAATATTCATAGTTTTAATCGCGTGTAAAACTCACCCTAATCTGTGGTAAACTGTCGGCAATCTTCTTGATGTCCTCCAAGTTTTCTTTAGTACAAACCAAATACTTGGCGGTCGTGTCCTCAACAGCGTTGAAGATCTCTCCTGAAAACAAAACACAAACCATGATATCAAACATCGGCCGTAAACTTATGGTTGCTTTTGAAACAAACTGTATGAACAGAATTCACTGCAGGCGCTGAAGACACCGCCGGCGGCCATCACTCCCAACAAAGCGATGGCATAATAATCACTGTTTGGAGATATGAATAAAACCACATCTCCTTTCTGGAGACCCAATGAGACAAAAGCGGCCGCAATGTTATACGAGTGGTCGTAAACTTGTTGTGAGTTGTGTTTCCGACCCGAAGGACAATCAATCTGTCAATCGTTTTGCAAATAAAATAGATATTTTTAAATATTTAAAAACTTTTAAACTAAGAAATTAATATAAAATAGGCTGAAAATAAGACCAACAAGGACAGTTTTGCGGCTATCATATTGCTTAAGACGACCAAAAATATATTCAGCGACAGATATTTGCGGGTAAGGAATGGTAGGAATAGGCGATCGTAAAATCTTCTCATCCATTTCTACTGCCAATTGTGAGTTTAATGTCATATTTAACACAATTTATAAGTTTATTTTATTTTATTTATATACAGTCAATAATTGTTTATCTAAAGTATAAACATTATGTAATCAGCCTTATCGTAATGGTTTTAACATCATGATAAACATTATGAAATCACATGCGTTATAATGTTGTAAAAGTAATATTAAACATACGTTACATACATGTACACAACGGGTATGTTAGTGATTTTTTAGCACATCTCGATATTGATTAACTAAATTATACCAATAACATATTCAGAATATTCTATTCTATCCAGGTACAGTACTTGGTACAGTAATGATTTGTGAGTACATCTGATAAGAATTAGTTAGGTCATATTAAATATACGACCTCGTAATATTGATCATATTGTAATGCTCTATATTACTGTAGTGTTTTTCAGCAAATATAACTACATTAATAATGTAGCATTATAGTTATTATTAGTTAAATCAAATTAAATATTTATTTATTTAAATATTTTCTAGAGTAAAACTGTAAGTAAATGTTAGGAGTTTGCAATGTAAAGCTTACATCATATTTATCACCTTATTATTAGCTTATTATTTTTAATTAATGTTTTTAATATCAAAATTAAATTCTTGAAGGAATTGCAATTAATTTATTGTCAAAATAATGCTTAAAATGTTTTTAAAAATAATAAAATAATATATGACTGCAATTCAACATATTTTATAAATAGCTTTATTTTTATAAACTTTTGTTTTGTTTCTTTTGTAAAAACTTTGTTAATAAATCTTACAACAAATTAAACATTTTTGAGTTAGAACTCGTGTAAAGCACTTGATTTCAGTTCCTTTAATAAAATTAAATCTTTATTATGAATGCATTGTTATTAGCATTGATTGTCATTATTTGTTTAAATGAAGCCAATTGTGAACGACTTCCCGAATGGCACATACAAGTGGCTCAACAACAGGGGTTTGTATTCATCACTTCCGCTCTCTCTCTCTCTCTCTCTCTCTCTCTCTCTCTCTCGCATGGCTTATCTAATCGTAATTTATTAAATTACATAACATTAAAGGCCCAACACTTGTGCCGTCGAAGAAGTACAGGAACTGAGACGAGAACTTTGGACAGAATGTAAATATTGGTTGAGACGCGATGTTTGCGGATATCAACCGTCAGTATAATTGAGATAAACATTCAATTATAAGCCCTCATAATTGAAATTACTTTTGCACGCAATTAATTAAATAGTGTTATTCGTTACGTTTGTTGCGAAGGCTATACAAGAAATAGCACTCAATTTGGTTGTCCACAAGGTTTGCAAACTTTGCATACAATACATGTTTTAACACCATTTGAATTCATGGCAAAATGTGATCAGAATTTAATGCATTGATCTAACAGTAAAACCATTGAAAAATCTGTGGCAAACGGCCCGCGATTTGGGAGCAACTGATTTCATGAGATACTCATTAGATTCACAAATAGGCTTTGATTTGATTCAAACTCATTCACCGCTCACTCTATTCATACCGACTAATGAAGCCTTTCGGGTATGAGTTGTGATCTGTTTATTGATTTTATTATTACAATACAGTATATCTCAGATTCTGAGGCTCTCTAACCAATGCCTGATATTTGTCAGAATTTGTTTTATTTATAACGTTATAAAATCTGATGGACTTAAATCAATGTTGATATTATAGTACCCATTAAGTAAATAATTACCATTGAGTCCACTGATAATACTATTACCATTAACTGATGCAAACCTTCTTTGCAGATGACATTTGAAGAGCAAACACACAATTCTTGCTATTTTGCCAACAAATCAAACCTAATTTTAATGCGAAAAATAGCTTAATATTAATTTTAGTATAAATTCGGGTGCAATTAAAAACAAAATTTAAAAAACAAAACTTTCAGAAACTGAGAGGAATTTCTAAAAGAATTTTCGAGGCCGACATCAGAGGCACTCTTATGTATCACATAATAGCCGGACGTTTGCCAATGGGTGACACCGACGGCGACCACACACTGCAGACACTACTCGGAGGACAGACCCTTCAAATCACAAAATACTCAAAGAATGTGTTTTATGCCAATTGTTTAGCAATCATTCATAAAAACATAATCACAACCAATGGTATTATACACTTAATCGATGGCGTATTGATTCCGTCCAAGAATTGGCCCTTAAAGCCAGTATTAAACACAGTTCTCAATGACAGCAGATTTAAACAGTTGTCGCGATATATAAATGAAACCTATTTTGCGGATGAGATGCGGGAAATGTATGGCAACACTGACTACACTATGTTTGCGCCGAACGACAGAGCGTTTCGTAAGCTATCGCCTAAATATCTCAACCGAATCGCATCCAAACCATCCCTTATTACAGGTCAACAATATTCCTATTCATTCAAACATTAAGTTTGTATATATTTTTTCTCAATATTGAAATAAATCTTATTATAAACAGCACTTCTTAGGAATCATATAACACCTCATACTATATGTCCGCACGCGTTGATAGCAGACCATACAATTAAGACCATTGACGGCAATGATATGATCGTTAGCTGTAATGGTAACGATAGATACATCAATGGAGTCCATATGAATGGACAAATGTTAGGCGCTGCCAATGGTGTCATCAATGTTGTCGATGAGGTCCTTATACCCGATTCAGGTGTGCATTCATTTGATTTTAACTTTATTTACTAACAATCTCTTGGCATTAAAGTGAAGAGTTTATACGAATTGGTGGACAAAAGGCAACAATTGAGTTCATTTAAGCGCACTTTAGACAAGTGCCCCGAAGAAGTGCTTGTGTTGGAAGAATCAAACCGAGCGTACAGTTTGTTTGCGCCAAACAATTATGCGTTTGAAAAACTAAAATCATATCAATTGGGAAACATTTTAGATAATTGCCGACTATTTGTCGAAAGCCATTTGATTCCTTACAGACTCACTACCAAATCAATTACCAATAATAAGACAATTTACACGTTAGCAAAGAATCGCTTCATTAATTGCACCATTACTGCAAAGGTATGACATTTCCAATGGTTAACAAATCAACACTTATTTAATTTTTAAAAAATTTTAATTACAGGGAATTTCAGTTAATTCAGCGCTAATTAAAGAATACGATATCGAAGGAGCGAATGGTGTTTTGCATATCATCGATGAAGTGCTTATAATACCATAGATTATAATACTTTTAAAAAACTAAAGCTAACCATTAGTTTGCTTTTTGGATTGATTTAAATATTGTCAAAAATAAAGTTATTTAAAATCATTTATTGTTTTGTTTACTTGATTTTGAATTCTCTAAAATCAATTTTTTCATAATTTTGGACCGATTTCTGGCAATTTTGAAACATTTTTCGAAATCATTTAAATCAAGTTTCGCGGAACCAGTCGTATGGATGTAATGAATGATATCTGTGTCCGCATTCACCACTATATTCACCACAGAATCGGCTAAACTCTCCTCATCTATAGTCGGGTCCGTTAAGAGTACACTAAAAATGAGAAATTCAACCATTTATTAACATTACATTTGAATAAAACATTTTAAGAGTTTTAAAAAGTATTTTTGTTAACTTAAGACAAAAATGTTTTATTAATTATTGAATAAAACATTTGGAGATAAAGTGGTGTATATTTTAGTCCAAAAGCGAAAACTTAACAAAATGTTAGGATTATTAAGTCATTATAATTGGACACAACATTCAGAGACCATTAAAATCTACATAAAAGCTATATATTTACACAGAGTTTCCAGCAGATTATGTAAACTCGTTAAATAATTTCAATCACTGTTAAATACAAACCCATTGATTATGGAGAAAGTGGTTGAAATGGGATATGTGGTCACTTCCACCGGTTCTGTATTCTTCTCGTACGATATCTTATTATCTTCGGAAACAATCGTTTTCTTGAGTAAACCTTAAAATAAAACATAGTGTAAAACAATGTAACAACTGATCCAATAAATCGCTCGCTCACAGGAATGAAGGGCCGCCACAATGGCTGTCACGCAGAGGTCTAAGAGGTTTCCGGCGTTATTCAGACAAATCAATTCAATGTTTAAACTCCACGCAAACTTTGGAAACAAATAAATTATTTAAATTCTAATATAAAATAATGAAATGATTAATTTCAAGCCAACCTTTGCCTCTAAAATACACAACTTCTTTAGATCAATGAGTTTGCTTTGTTTGACCACATCTTTAAGTGTTTGCGTCAATACAAGCAAATCATTAGTCGAGTCAGTCATACAGTATTTGGGGGAACAATAGGCCGGGAGTCGGACATTAATTTCAACTGATCCCTCGTCTGGTGTCTCAATGTTTGGTTCAATTACTTCCTGAAGAGTTAAACAAACATTTAGATAATAGTTTCTTAATTGAATTATTAATAAAGTAATTCACAGATAATTGAGATTAAATTAAAACAACACATACAGTGGTTATACCGCAGATGACGGCACTGTTGCCGAATCTAATCATCGCCGAGCCATTAGCTGTTCCCACACTGTCTGTACTCAATGTAAACAATAATTAAGTTCAGAGTTAAGTCTAAAAACAAATTTTTAAACACTTTTGTACCGCAATTGAGAAGAACGGGTCGGAAGTCATCAAACTTTCGGCCATCGCTTCGGAGGTTTTGTTTCTATTGATAAAAATATTAATCATTTATGAAATACACGTCTAATCGACATTAAACACTTTTGTACCGCAATTGAGAAGAACGGGTCGGAAGTCATCAAACTTTCGGCCATCGCTTCGGAGGTTTTGTTTCTATTGATAAAAATATTAATCATTTATGAAATACACGTCTAATCGACAGTTAATTTACAAGAAATTCATTGATGTATTGAAGCGGTTGTAATAATCTGTGGACAAAACGATAGACAAAACAATTAGTGATAAACATAAACATAAAAGCAATCAAAACATACTTCACTTCTTCAGACATTGTCACTAAACTAATGGCAAATTATATACGGATTTAATCAATAAATTAACGAAACAATTATTAAATTCAACACAACTTTTATTTGTATGCAATTTATATAAAGCGAGAGATAAACCAAAAACTATAGCAATATATAAGCGATTAATACTAAAACACGTGTTTTAATCGTGTATTCAATTAAACGGACATTAAATTCAATCAACACTTAAATCACAATTAAATCTCATTTAGCGGTCAATGCGTTGAAAGCGCTGTTTGTATTGAACGCCACGTGTTGTAGAGGTGGCAGCGGTTTGTTTGATAGCAAATCCACGTCTAAAGCCATAACACACGCGAACGCCTCTACACAACGATCTATTCATAAATACAATCATATGTTTGCAAACATATGGATACCCTTTAAGAGACGATCGCTTTTTAAATCAATGACTGGACGATTGTGTTGTCTCAACACTCGAGGGGGCGATCCGTAACGTTATTTGCGAACAACCCATTGAGTTAAAGTTTGTGGTGAAAAACAAGTGAAAAAGATTTTGAAAGTGAAGTGAATTATAGATATGTTTTGTAATCATTTTGAGTGCACTTTAGATACAAATATATGAAAACAGTAAACAATTATTGTCTCAAATTGTCTTCACAGCAAACCATCGCTTCATAGCACTTGTGTCCACACAATTGTCGCCCAAAACCCAACACAAGCGCCAAATATTGATATCTATGTGAAGAGCGATCGCCCGAAGTGTGAATAATGGCATACAATGGGCCGGATTTGGCCACCAGTCCCGTCAATGGCCTCAAGAGTGCCGTCTTCTGGAACTCGAGTCAATCGCCGCCAAACGAATCGCGTCCGAAGAGCGCGGCGACGGCTCCAGTGGCCACAGGTTTGCCCATTGGGTGTCAATGCGACCAACAGTTTGTCAACTTTTGCAAAATGCATGCCATCTCTCACGCGGACTGCGGTCACAGCCGACAAGTGAAGTGCACGCTATGCGCGGCCACCACTGACCACAAGTCCATCCAATGGCACATCTCGTCCGACAAACACAAGCAAAGACACAATCAACTCATGGAATACGTGTATCTCCTGTCGCTTCCCATTCAGAGCCCGTCATTGGCGCTGAAGTTGACGCAAGTGTTGGACATTAATCGGGCGAAGAACGCGTTGAACTCGCACGACGTTCAGCGGCGGCTGGAAGTGGTGGAGTTGATCAACGATCTGATCCGACGCAATGGTCTCAAAGACTATTCCGTACGGCTCTACGGCTCGTCGATTAACGGTTTCGGTCTGAAAGAGCATTCGGACATTAATTTGGATATTGTATGCAATCATAGGCCCGAAGGCAGCGCTGGAACCGGCGGTGAAGACAGCAGATCCGGTGTTTCGGTGGCGATTGTATTGTCGAAAATCGCTGATATCATCCAAAAAAGTGATGGTCTCTTCTATAGCGTGCGCACCGAATACAACCTCAAAGTACCGAAAGTGCGGTTCAAAGACAAACTGAATCGCCTGGAGATCGAGCTCTCGATTACGGTGGAGAAGAGTGTCCGCGCGTCACGACTTCTGCAACAGTACTGTCAGATCGACGACCGGGTGGTTGTGTTGGGCATAGCGTTGCGAGAGTGGGCCCGTATGTACCGCTTCGACGACCAGGAGAACGGTCTGTGGCCGGCCTTCGCCTTCCCATTACTGGCCGTACATTTCCTGCAACGGTGTTCGCCGCCAGTGCTTCCCTGCCTTCACGAACTCCTCGGCAATAATAGTCCCAACGAAACCAATCCAAGCCAAACTCATAGCCATTTTTCGGTCAAACATTTGTCCGAAGACAACGACACTACCGTTGAGGACGACTTTAATCTCAGTTCATTGAAGTGGACGACAATGAACAACAAGAGCGTCGGGCAGTTGTGGTTAGAAATGCTTCGCTATTACGCGGCCGAGTTTGACGCCGAGACTTACGTCGTGTCCATCCGGACCACAGTTCCCGTCTTCATGAGAGCCGACAAGAAGTGGTCGACCCGTATGTTAGCGATCGAAGACCCGACCCGTCCGTCGCTGAATCTGTCGCGTTCTGTCGGATCCATGCGTTTGTATAACGTATTCATTGAACAATTGAGACATTCGTTTAAATACTTCGCCACACCTTTCGTCAACGTATTGTCCAATAACTATAACTCTAACGTCCGGTCGAGTCCTCTGTTTACTGAACGGGACTTTGAAATACTGGTCAACGAAACACACTTTTACGACAAGTTAGATGTGAGCGATCTGTTGACACAAATCAATCACATTTGCAATGATTTAGACAACGAAACCGATCACAAGACCACTCAGCATAAGACCAGCGACTTCTCCGACTCCGACGACGAAAGGGGAGGAAAAGACAACTTCTTTATGAAAGCGAATAAAATTCTGAAGACATTCGGCATAAGAATGCAATTGTCGCTCGAATTGGAGGGCACTTTGCGTTTGATTCCCGCCACACAACTCACCGTTTCGTTTCAGATGAACAAAACGCCATTCTTTCAGACGCCGCAGAAGTTCTGCCGCCTCTGTCACCGATACGGACACATTCAGACCAAGTGTCCCGACAACGAGTTGCCGCACTTGAAGCCGATGGCTGACCACTTGGACGTCGGTTACGACGAACTCTTAAATCAGGTTTGCTTTGAGATATTCGACAATAAAAAGATGGACAGAAGTGAGGAACAACTCCAAGAGTTCATTCTCTCTGATTTGGAGCAATTCATACGACTAGAGATACCGAACGCGAGGCTAGAGTTGTTCGGTTCGACCAAAAACGGATTCGGCGCCCGATTTTGTGATCTCGACATCTGTTTAACGTTTGACAACAACTCGACCGGTGAAGGGCTGGAGTTCGCGACCATTATTGAAAATGTGGGACAAATACTGCGAACGCATCGCAATCTGCAGAACATAATACCCATCGTTTCGGCCAAAGTTCCTATCGTTAAGTTTGGCTACAATTTTGACCGAAACCGTTGCGTTGAGTGTGATATCAGTTTATATAACATTTTGGCGCGTTATAACACAGCGTGGCTCAAGTTGTATACTTTGATCGACCGTCGGGTGCAGGTCCTCGGCTTTGTGGTCAAACATTTCGCTAAAGTATACAAACATTTATATTTTTCAATTCATAAATCAATTAATGTTTACTTTATTTGTTGTTATTATTCACGCGAAGACCTGTGATATGTGTGACGCCTCTCGCGGAAGCCTATCGTCCTATGCCTACACTCTAATGACAATTCATTATTTGCAACAAAAGCGCATAATTCCTGTCCTCCAAGAGATCGGTTTGGATCGACGGGAGGAGCGAATAGTGGACGGATGGGACACGTGGTTCTTCAACGATCTCCAGACACTGCGTAAGTATTGGACGCCCGCAGCCAACGACGAATCGGTGGCACAACTGTTCGTCGGCTTCTTGAGGTACTACTCGGAAGTGTTTAACTTCGAGGACAATGTTGTCTGTTGTCGCCAATTGGCGCCATTGAAACGACTCGAGAAGATGTGGACGGGCTGTAAGATCGCCATCGAAGGTATGGCCGCTGTAAACGTGATTATTTTATAGACAGAGTTTGATTTGAATTATTTGACCACATATTTAGATCCGTTTCTATTGTCGCACAACTTGGGAGCGGGTGTTTCGCCCCAAATGGCAGTCTATATCAAAACGTCGTTTATTTTGGGCCGAAACCTGATAGGAGTGCCGCCCATCAAAGGTCTTGAGCCGCGATACCGATATTGGGTCGACTACTTCTTCGACAGACGCCTCCTAACCAATGGACTGCCGCCGACGGGTAGGGGTTGTCGTAAATGCGGCAAAATTGGACACAAACAGAATAAGTGTCCCGAAGGACAGCAGAACCGACACCAGAGACACGACGTCCGACCGGAACGTCAGGAACGGTACGTCCGACACGAGACACGCGAACGACACGACCGGCCGGACAAAAGTCGAGACAAACCAAAGCCAATCAACAGAAGAAAATACAATTAAAATACATTTTGAATTCATTGGGAAATTGACTATAATTTGTTTGAATTTCATTTCATTATATTTTGTGTTAAATGACCAGAAAATGACAGATAATTATTATTAATTAACGCATGAAATATTAAATATAATTTTGTGTTATCTCTTGTTTTAGCAAAACATTTATTTAGATTTTTCTCTTATATATTATCAAATGACTGAACAAACAGTTTTAGTGACATTTTTAAACAGTTAAACATTATTCTCATTTTTTAAATTGTTTTTCACATTGAATTAAATTTATACACAAAAAACCCAAAAAAACAGAAATACATTAATTTAATGTTAAATCAAACCTTATTATAATTTTTTGACAATTATTTTGTTTTAAAATCTTAAGATATTTAACACAAAACAAAAATTATAACAACAGATAACAAATGATAAGGGGTTTCAAAGTGAAAGTCCAATGAACTCGTATATGAATATGTATTATGAAATGACATACAGTCTGATCCCTTTATAGGCGACTCGTTGCTACAAAAGTCAAAGTTAGCCACAAATACACATTATATAATTTAATGCTTGTGTTTCTTATCAACGGGTTTCTGTAAAAATCAATTAATTTTAATAAATATATATATATTTTCTCAAACGATTGAATTATTAAATTTTGTGTTAAGCTGTTTGGCGACGATTTTGGCGAATATGCAACAAATATTAGCTATTATTTTCTAAAACTGCAATTACTGTATATTTTTGTGTTCATATAATTGTGGTTAACATTATATCGCATACAATAGATCTTTCTATGCGATTGTTTAGGTCTAATGAAGCGTCCGGTAAATGGCTGTCGTAACGCTATATACCCGGCATTAAATTCATATTAGTTTCCAGTATAGGCTATTATATTCATATATTCGGACAAATTATATTAAGTGAAAAAATTTGTTGATTTATTGCCTAAAGTGTTGCCAAAAGACATTAGTTTTGGTTGCATTTGAATGGGAGGCATAATATCTGGTTATTTTATTTCATTTGATTTGGGATGAAAACGATTGACTTATTGATTGTTAATTTCAAAGTCAAAGCCAATAACAATAATTGTTGTGTTCCTATCATATCGTAGACACTGTTTCTCTCTGTATTCACTGTTAATGATTGACGTCTTAAGAGATGGTTTTGCTATTCAATACAATCACCAAATCATTGGCTTTAACTATAGGTTCAGTGATGCCAAACAACCACGATATGAATAGAGTTGCTGTTTGGCGACGATTTTGGCGAATATGCAACAAATATTAGCTATTATTTTCTAAAACTGCAATTACTGTATATTTTTGTGTTCATATAATTGTGGTTAACATTATATCGCATACAATAGATCTTTGTATGCGATTGTTTAGGTCTAATGAAGCGTCCGGTAAATGGTTGTCGTAACGCTATATACCCGGTATTAAATTCATATTAGTTTCCAGTATAGGCTATTATATTCATATATTTGGACAAATTATATTAAGTGAAAAAATTTGTTGATTTATTGCCTAAAGTGTTGCCAAAAGACATTAGTTTTGGTTGCTTTTGAATGGGAGGCATAATATCTGGTTATTTCATTTCATTTGATTTGGGATGAAAACGATTGACTTATTGATTGTTAATTTCAAAGTCAAAGCCAATAACAATAATTGTTGTGTTCCTATCATATCGTAGACACTATTTCTCTCTGTATTCACTGTTAATGATTGACGTCTTAAGAGATGGTTTTGCTATTCAATACAATCACCAAATCATTGGCTTTAACTATAGGTTCAGTGATGCCAAACAACCACGATATGAATAGAGTNTAGACACTGTTTCTCTCTGTATTCACTGTTAATGATTGACGTCTTAAGAGATGGTTTTGCTATTCAATACAATCACCAAATCATTGGCTTTAACTATAGGTTCAGTGATGCCAAACAACCACGATATGAATAGAGTGGGCTTTTTATATGTTATCCATTTCTATACATGTATTATATTATTATCGCAAACATCTCGACAACTATTTTGAATTCGAGTGGAAATAATCAGATTTATTTAGTGTTCAATCGATCCGATCGTTTTGTATACCCGTCTATGCATTCGGGTTTGCATTTCTGTATATATCCATCACTTTATTTGTTTGGCTCTCGAAACGCAAACTTTGGTCTCTTTTTTGATAGTTTTTTTCTTTTTAAAATTGCATCAATCAATGGATAGAGAAGGCATACGAACAGCGATATTGAAGCAAAAAATTACTTCTTTTCATAACAATTGTTCAATTGTTTGCCATTTTTATTGATATTGTGGTTAAAAGTTTAGAAAATTTCTGTATTCAATGTTTGTCTTCGTTATTGTATGTGTTTTTTTGGTCGTTTAGTAGAAAATGTAAAAATGACTTTTTTCATAAAACCATTTCTACACTCTTTTGAATGATTTGATTACTCTTTATATGCCATTCACTTGATATCTATCTCTACATAAATGGGAATCCAATTGAATTCAATGAACATAAAAACTCAGGGTTAATAAATGCCGTATAAGACGTCTCAATATACGTTACTGTGCCTGATATTTAACTTTCACTAAACTTACTTACTTTTAGTTCAAATATAGTATCTATAACAGAGGTTACATACCTTTTTAGTTCATTAAAAGAGTATTTTTATACACGTCTTAATGTAATGTCTGGTAATTTGAATGAAATATTTCTTTCACAAAAGAAAACAGATTTTTTTTCGTGGACTTAACTTTAAGTACAAGTTTGAGTACATATTTATTTGCTTTACTGTAACACTATTTAGATTGTATTTGCGATCACAGGAAACATAATTTAGTACATTATAGGGGAAAACAAATCATTTCTTGGAAATAAAAGCACAAAAATAAAAAACATTTGAAACAAACCAAAAACAGGATTAGAGTTAAGTGTCCCAAAAAAGTTTCATTTTATGCCTAATTTGAACAAAAATTCACTTTATTTAAAATTAATACCTCTGTCTCTCCAAATGTAAGCCTTTTCATTAATTTATCCGATATTTCAAATAATCATGTATTTTAAACATTTTTCAATTAATAATCTTTTAAAATTTTTATTTAATACTATAAATAAATGAATGAAAAATTACATTATTCTTAACACACGAGTTCATCGTATGATTTGAAAAATACGTGAAAAATATAAGTTTATATGAGATATAAAACTCAAGTCTCGATAGAAATTAATCAATCATTTATTGTGTAAAAAATTATTCAAACATTTAATTCATTTGAATGAACAAAAAACACAATACGATTACTGAATGCTGTTTTTCACTCGATTCCCATTCTTATTGATGGCATAAAACATGCTATCAATGAATTGTTGTCTAATGAATGACTTATAATAAATAATAAGCAATTTTTTGGATACGAGTAATGCATTACGAGATTAGAGTCCTATAAATGAGATGAGGCCTACTTTTGGAGGAGATGTGGACTAAACATTGGGCCAAAATCTATCAAAACTCCATCAGAAAGTAATGTCAACATTTATTTTTGGCTGTTATTATAATAACAATAATAATACTCGTAATACATATTTGCAAATAAATGGTACATTTTAAACAGTACATACACTACATGTATAACAGTAGATATAATTGTTGCACATTTTTTAATACATATATTTTATTCTTAATTCCTGTAAAGATAATGGATATATAGATTAGGTTTCGTGTGTTTCGGAGCCCATTGTACGGCTTGAGTCCGTTATAATAAATATATATTTTCTCCCATTTTTCGCTCATTTCTTGCTTTTTCTTCTACACAAACAGTCGATTAAAAATAAATTTCATATAAAAATAATTTTTTCAAAACCAATTAAAATCGATTTGTATTTTCTATAGTATTATATATTATGTAATACTTTATGCGGCGTTTATCGGACTAAAAGATAAAAACATTAGTTAAGGGTTTTATTAGTTTTTTGGTCAAAAAACGTCCATTCAATTCAATAGTCAGTTCATTCACTTATAATTACTTTGAATTAAAGGATATTTTATTTGAAAAAAGTTTTAATAATAATTATAATTTTTAAAAATCCCTTTTATTTAGAGTTATTATTAACCCATTTTTGGATGTTTTACTTATTTTTCTTCGGCAAACGCTCCGAATTCTTGAGTAAATATTGGTTTTTAATTATTTCCGATAGGATTACACAGTAGTCTATATTAAGAATGAAAAATATAATATCCTTATTATTAAATATAATTTCATTTTTCCGATTCAAAAATATCGATTCATTAGAGAATATTATATTTCTTTTTATTTCAATTCTTTATTATTTAAAAAGTGTGTCATTTTATCTGATAATACATTTTCATAAATAGCAAAGTGTATGAGAAGTAACTTTCATCGCATTTACCGATCAAAAGGAGAGAGCATTTCATTGAGATATTAAAAGAGAGAAATGCATTTAAACACCGAATTTATACACATTATAACATTGTATATAACAAGAAGCGAGTTATCTATTATAATGTTTGATTTTTTATTACATAATCTCATTGTGTCGTAAAAGTTTATTCATTGTGTTTATAATGTTTTTTGGATAGAAAACCAATTCTTGTCTATTGTTATGATATTTACAAAAGTATTTAGTTATTATAGAAAAAGATATTCATTTATTAGACCACAAAAGGCCTCAATTCCGACGTTTATTCTTCATTTAATTCAGTTATTATTAACTATTTCTTCAATGAATAGTGTGTTTCCAGTAATTCAATTGTGTGTCAAAAAATATAACACAATTTATAAATACATACATTTTTTGCAACTATTTTTATATCTAACTGTTATATTCAACAGCAGATCAACCGTTAGAATGACTGATGATTTAGTTATGGTTTTCAGATCTATTCAAAAGGATTTTTGGGTGAAAAACTTCTATTGAATACACATTTCTTATATATAATGAATGGAAATATTAGTTAATAAACCATAAAATAAAGTAATTTTGCTGTATATTTGATGTGTATATGTTTTTGTTAAAAGTGCTCTAAGTTTTGTTGCATGCATTCAATGCATGTATAGTTCAGTGAAACAGTTTTATGAGAGAATTAAACACAAAAAAGTTTTATTCAATAAATTTAGTTTTTTAGCCGAAAAAGAAGAAGAAATATAGTCTCGAAAACACATTAAATGAAATCATTTGGAAATTAGTAACAATTTATTTCATTAATCTTAATGAATGCAATTGTAAATTCAATAAATATACTTACATTTACAACTTATTTATAATATAAGT